GTGTGTGTGTGTGTGTGTGTGTGTGTGTGTGTGTGTGTGTGTGTGTGCGCGCGCGCGCGTGCGTGCGTGTGCGTGTGCGCGCGCGCGTGTGTGTGTGTGTGTGTGTGGGTGTGGGTGTGCGCGTGTGTGTGGGTGTGTGCGTGCGTGCGTGCATGCGTGCGTGCGTGCGGCCGTGCGTGCGTGCGTGCTTACCCTTCAAAATCGGAACGGCAGGAATTCCCTGGACGAACTCTTTCGCAAGGAGCTTTTAATTGCAAAAGGAGATGAAAAAAACATTATTTTCACTCTACAGATTACATATACAAGTTTCCACCGTTTAAGAAACGATCCCCATACCAATACTGCCCAACGAAGGTAGAAGATAAAGAAAAAGTGCCTTGTTATAACTTATACGTAGCAGAGAGAAAAGATTTTTGTCCTAAAATGAAAGTTCGTCGAGCTGTGTAAGTATTACCATGGGGAATCAATACATATAAATTATATTAAATAGATATTTAAAACTATAGACGGCGACACTTGAATAAAATAAAAAATAAAAGTATTGAATCTCGAAAATTTGAGGTAGGTATGTCACACTAAATAAGAAGAATAAAATATAATTTTCCCAGCGAGTTCAATGTAATAAGGCCCTCAGGGTTTTCTTAAGGCTTCCCCGTTTCTGTAGGGCTTCCACGCGATTAGGGGGAGTGCGGCGAATATGGGGAACAATGGAATTCTGAAGATGATAGCAAATAGAATGGACTCGGCTACCCTCATCCGGTTAACTTCCTTGCGTATAATAAAATGGTTATATTGATACATTTTTCAATTATTTTACTAACATAATTTTAAGTGTTTCTGTTACCAACATCCTATGGATTAGTTGATCTGAAAATAAAAGATTTTTATTTTATTAAAAAGAAATGCATAACTTATTAAACAACATTTTAGGAATGTTGAATTAAAATTCATTTACAATAATTATGATAATTTATTGATGAAAACAGTAAACTGTCGTTGAAAATTACAAATCAAAAGGTTTCATAATGGTATACTTTTTGATTTGTTAGTTTGTAATAAATTGTATAGATGGCATTTATTTGAATTTATTTTCGAAACTATGTAAGTTCTCTTATTCTCTGTGGTACGTTAGGTCGTAGGTCGTCATTGATCCAGGGTACCAAAAAAATACGTGTAAAATTTTATAAAGCGACTCTACCCGCGATATTGAACAACTTTCGCGAATTGGATATGAGTTCTTGAGTAGAGATGGGAAAAACTGCTTATTTTTTAAACGTTATGCTTTTATAAAAAAGGCTTGCTTTTTTGAACGCTTTTTCACTTAAATGCTTTTCAGTCTGAAACTAACAAAATCGTCTAGAAAACGTTTAAGCGCATAGACTTTTACGTTAAAAAAAGCTTGCAACATTGTGTTGATAGCGAAAAGCAAAAGTAGACCACTAAAGGTTTTAAGATAAATAAGTTTTTTTGGAAAAACGAGTTATATTTTCATTTATGACATAATATTTTTTCGTTTAAACGCCCATCTCTTTCCTGAGAGACGAACGAGGAAGATGACTCGGATCAATTTCTTGTTCATCTTTTATTGTTACGCTATTAACATCTACAAGTTTTGAGCTATTGTAACGGAAGTTCCCACAGCTTTTATAAAGGACGTACTTTAAAACTTTACCACTGTAGGTCAACTACAAGATATATTTTAAACTCAAACTGAAATAACCTTTGTTTCATAGGTAAGCAAATTACATTTGAAATGGTCATATTGATTAAACTCTACTGTTGTAAGACAGATTCTCATGAGAAGAATGAGCAAGAAATTCTATGTGTTGGTCTTTGTAAATATACTTACAATTGTATAAACCTGCACATTTATTATTTATAATATTTATTTCGAACATCATAGATGTAGTAGTAGTCTCTACATCTAGGAGCTAAATGGGTCACTACCATGATTTTTGTCGTTCAAGTACGCGCAAGCATTGTACTAACTAAACCTTAATTATACCTAAAAAGTACTTGTTTCACTATAATTTTCATTAATAATAAAAAGACGACCTCTGTGGTGGAGTGCCATCTCTGGATGGCGACACCAAGCTACTCCACCTCAGAAGGTCCCGGGTTTGATCCCCGGCCGGGTCAGTGTAGAAAAGCTAAGTTTTCTATATTATCTCTGGTCTGAGTGTTAGTGGTACAGGGTCAAGAGCACGTCAAGCTTGACACTTGAAGACTTAAATCCTACTCTATGCCGCTTACGATGAGAACGGTCCTAAGTACAAAGTGTCAAGCTTGACGTGCTCTTGACTGTACCATCGTTGTTTCCGATTTTCATAACACAAGTGCTAGCTACTTACTCTGGGATCAGAGAAACGTATGGGATGTTGTCTAATATTTATTTATTTATTATACAACTGCCTCCGTGGCCGAACGGTCACCACGCTGGACTGCCACACAGAGGTTTTGGGGTTTGATTCCTAGGCCTGGAGAAATATTTGTATGGTCTACATTTATTAATCCTGAGTTTGGATGTAATTTGTGGTTGTCTATGTGTGTGTCCGTGGCACCCGCGATGCAGGGTTTCCTTAGTGCAGGGCTATGAGTGTGTCCGTTATTAATTAATTTATTATGTTAAACCTCGTTGAGTGTCGTGAAAATGTTTATATTTATAGTGAAGAAGACAATGATGACGTTATAGAGATTTTGAACGAGGAATGCCCCCAACTGATGGATATCTACGGCGAGTTCTACATTAGTGAGATCATTTCAAGACACCCGGAGAGAAAAAGGAAAGTCATGGTGTCTGAGGTAAATAGTTACAAACAGTGTAAGGCTTAGTATACATTGCCATGGAATGAAATGAGATGACTTGAGCTGTAGTTCAGACGTAGGCCCAATACGGATCGGGAACTTCACACACAGAAATTGCTTCCTCACGATGTTTTCATTCATCGAAAAGCTCATGGTAAACTTCAAATTAAATTTGGCACATAAATCCCGAAAAACTCCGAGAGCAAGCCCGGTTTCGAATACACGGCCCTCAGTTTGTTATAATTATTAATACAAAGATCGAACACTCAGAAACAATTCCTTCGATCTGGCCGGATTCGCGTCTTCTGGCATACCGCGCCAGACGCTATACCAATTATAATAATTATAACAAACTAGTGGAGTAATTTCACATAAAATAATTGAATATCAATTCAATAAAAAATTTTAAATACAATGAATAGCGACATCTCTAGCCAGGGGTGATAGCTGTAAAGGTATCTAACTGGGTGACGAAATATCATACATTTCTCATAGATGGCGCTACGGCTAAAAAGTCGTTGAAAAAATCAAATACAACTTTTTTTTTTATTTGACATTAATAAGTTCGTAAGGAACTTCACACTTTTTGAGGATAATTTACTTTTACCCCTAAGGTATCTCAGACATATAGCTAGTTTGCTATCTTTTAATATTAAGGACGCTGTTATAGAAGATATAACACAGTCCCACGACAATGCTCCTACTTTAAGTAGCAACAGTATACTTTTTACTAACCATAATTTAAACTGAAAAACACGACAACAGAAAAGTCTAATCGTTTCCATGTAGTACATCAAAATATTCAAGGCTTTTCTGGCAAAACATTAGAAATAAGTCTTTTTTTGCACGATATTTCCGTTGACGTGTTTTATGTTACAGAACACTGGCTGAAAGATTACGAAGCCATTAACAATATAGAAAATTATGTAATAGTCAGTTCGTTCATAAGAAAGAGTTTAAGTAGAGGCGGATCCATGATTATTATTAAGCGTAACTTAAAATTTAAAGAGCGTAAGGATTTCACAAATCTTTCTACTGAACGAACTATTGAGATTTCATGTGTGGAATTGGATCAGTTTGTCGTCTTATGTGTATACAGGCCCCCCTCTGCTAATTTTAACGAGTTTGAATTAATTATGGAAGACAGTTTAAAGCGGATTTTTCCAACCAAAAAAAACGTAGTAATATGTGGAGATTTCAATGTAAACCTGTTGGAAAACTGTTCTACTTCTGTAAGACTCTTTAATTTATTTCAAAGTTTTAACTTGATTAATCTTTTTTTAGAACCAACTCGCATTACTGCCTCCTCTTCTACTTGTATTGATAACATCTTTTGTAACACAGACGCAGTGTCTTAATCAATAATAAATTGCTTAAGATCCGACCATAGTGGCCAATTAGCTTCTTTTAATTGTAAAATGAGCAAGAAGGTAGACCAATTTCTCTGCAGACCGATTACCACAGAACGAATAATTAGATTTCAAAATAATATCGGCAATAGTTTAAATTCCCTATCCCATATACCGGAGTATCCAAATACTTTATATAACACGATATTTGGTTTAATTAAAAATGAATTTGACAATATATTGAAATCGAAAACATTAACTTTCCATAGAGAGACTAAATTCAACGACTGGGCAACAGTAGGTATTCATTCATAAGAGTAGGTCTCGTTTGTATGAGCTATATACTATGAAAACTTATAATACTAATTCCAATTTCATAGAATATGTTAGAATTTATTCGAAAAAATTTAAAAAAGTTTGTGTAGCTGCTAAGGTTAAGTTTCACAGCGACAAAATTAGACAATCGACAAATAAATCTAAAACTACTTGGAGCATAATAAATAAAGAGTCAGGCAGGGTTAAACTACACGATAGAGATATAGTTTTAGAATTAGACAGCAAACTTATAAAATCTAAAGATAAAGTAGCCCAAGCTTTTGAATCGTTCTTTTCGGAAATTGCTGTGAACACTACAAAATCATTAAATTCCTCCCCTTCACTTGCTATTGATCTCCTAAAGGAAAATGTTAACGTTTGTGGCAGTTTATTTAATTTTCGTCATGTTAATCCACAAGACATCATAAAAGCTTTTAAGTCAATACTATACTATAATTACTGTCCTATTTCGGTAGGAATCATATGTTTCATAGTGAACAATACGGGTTTACTAGTGGTAGATCGACTAGCGATGCGGGGGTAGCGTTACTAAAACACATCTTTGATGCTTGGGAAAGGTCCCAGAACGCTATTGGTGTTTTCTGTGACCTCTCAAAGGCATTTGATTGCGTTGATCATAATACTCTCATTAGGAAGCTGGAACATTACGGTTTACGGTGTTAAATTTGAATTACCTAACGTAAAATCGACTAGTCCAAGCATAAAAATAAACGGAGAAAAGTTAGACCTTGTTAATAAAGCAGTCTTCTTGGGAGTGACCTTAGATAGTAAACTTCAGTGGTTTCCACATATATCGTCTCTGGCCAGCAGATTAAGCTCCGCTGCATACGCAGTCCGCAGAATACGTGAGCTTACCGATGTTAGTACTGCTAGACTAGTTTACTTTAGTTACTTCCATAGTATAATGTCCTACGGGATTCTCATGTGGGGTAAAGCGGCAGATATTCAAACCATATATGTATTGCAAAAACGAGCGATTCGTTCTGTGTACCGTCTAGGCTCTCGGGTATCTCTCAGAGAAAAGTTTAAGGAGACTGGTATCATGACTGTGGCATCACAGTACATTTACTCAAATATTTTATATGCCCGTAAAAATATACATAATTTCAATAAGAAAGAAGATATCCATAATATTAACCTTAGAGCTAAGTCCAAACTCATGGTACCACGATTTCGTTTAACCAAGGTAAACAACTCTTTTATGGGGAACTGTATACGTTTTTACAATAAGATTCCGGAGCATATATTAAGTTTATCATTTCCTAAGTTTAAAAACTACATTAAAAATATTTTGATCGAAAAATCATATTACAAAATTGAAGACTACGTGTTAGATAAAGATGTATGGAAAGACGACATGGCTCCAGAATCCACACAAATTTGATTCAAAGTGTATTCCATAGCATGTAAGTTTATTTGAAAAGAGCAATTCCTAGAGTTTCTTGCTCGTTCTTCTCAGGGAGGTCAGCGTAGTGAACGAGCAGTAGCTTAAATGTGACGTTTTCAAGTGTAAATTTATTTTACCTATGGAATAAATAATCTTTGACTTTGACTTTGACTTTGACTTTGACTTTGACAAAGATACGACGCAAGCACATAGAAAAATTCGTGAGGTCCGCTGGTTCGTTCCGTGGCTTAGTTGATATAGCGTCTGCCACGGTATGTTAGAAGACATCGGTTCGAATCCGTCCGGATCGAAGGAATTTTTTCTGAGTGGTCGATCTTTGTATTAATAATTATAATTATAAATTTACCAAAAATAATCTGCCACTTTATAGATTGTAGTAAAGTAAGTTCAAACGTGCAATCGTCCTCCGCGACGTCTCCACCCCCGTCCTGCACAGAGTTATTATCGTTTAAAACGATATTTAAATATATTTATTTTTGTATGGAAGTAAAATCTGATGACTTTTTAAAAGTCATTGAATAAAAGTTGTGCTTTATGATGTTTTAGTAATATAGAGCTGCGAGGTTGTTATTATTTTTCAAATAACCTTATAGCGGTGAATTTGAATGCGATATTTTCATTATACTCGTAATGTACACTGGACGTTAACGTATCATAGGAATATGGTCTGGGTCTGAATCACATCACTTATTATATACATTTTGATGTACACGGGGCCTTAGAAGGATAATAATAATAGACGTTAACAAGTTTACATTTTTTTTGCAGATCCATGACAAAGTAACAGGCGTGATGTGCTTAAGTGCAGACGTGAATTTCTCGATGCTGCAGTCCGTGTACGAGCTAGCTCCGTACAACGGTCTGGTGCGACACTCACTTCAGGAGAAGGAGGAAATAAAACAAAACAACGAATTGCTCACAGCTTTCGGGTAGGTGCCACATTCTTGCAAATTATAAGTGCCGCAATGAGTTCTTACGTTTATAGACATACACATCATTTCCAATATACAAACAAACAACATTTATTTTCGGACTGTCCTGCACGCTGGGCAGTTGTGATCATGAGACGAAAAAAGGGTCCGAAACGTTTTGTTTCTTTGAATATACGCGATTACGAACCTAAAAAAATAGTTTCGTTACTTATGTGTAAATGCTGTGCTCAATAGTTATAGCACGGTACTAAGGAAGGATAAACTAGAAGTAAAAGAAATAGATTTACTAAGTATTAATAAAAAGATCGAATAGTACGAAAAGATTCTTACGATCCGACTGGATTCAACCCAGCGTTTTTCAGCAAGCCGTACCAGACGCTATGTCAACAAAGCCACGGAACGTACTAGCGGACCTTGTTGCAGTTCTTTGTTTTTCACTTTTTTGCCGTTGCGCCATCTGTGAGAAATCGGTTTCTTCAGTCAGCCAGGTACCTTTACAGCTACCAGCAGCTGACTAGAGATGTCGTTTTAATCATTGTAATTTTTTAACAAATGTTTGACTGACAATTTTGTTTTTTGAAATTTATTGACATTTGTTTGTGAAATTACTCTACTAGTTTGTTGTAATTATTAATACAAAGATCGAACACTTAGAAAACATGCCTACGATCCAGCTAGATTCGAACCAGTGTATTCCAGCAAACCGTGCCAGACACTATCCCAACTAGCAGTTCTTTGTTTTTGGTTTCTTAACGACTTTTTGGCCTTAGTGCCATCTATAAGAAATCATAGATGGCGCCATCATTTATTAACTTTTTAGACTACACTGTTTTGTAACGACGTTTTTAAACTTTGTTATAGAGACCCCATAATGCTTGGTCAATTGGGCCCGTTCGACCATATCATTTGCAACGTAGACATGACTCCGCAAATCGCAATTGATGACATTGACGTAAGTTGTATATTGTATGTTTATTTTGTTATTGGATAATAATATTTTCTAGTGCATGAAAGCTTAATTGCTATTATGACTTTTGAAGTCTTTTGTGGCAGGTATTTTCCAAACTTTAGGTACAGGTACTTTACCAACTGTAGAGCTCTTTTTAATAGAGTTCGTACAGGGAAGTACTGTCACCTTGCTTATTTCTGTCGCCAAACAGTAATGTGAACATTATTGCTTGGCGGCAGTCGGCTCTACCTATTGGGCGAGGAGTTATTCAAGGATCTGTTCTCAGACCAACGCTTTATTCTATGTACACATATGATTTATTAGTAGAAATCAAGTACAGCGGTGGTCACATATACGCTGATGATACACTTTTATTTTATAAACAAGTCCAGATTCTAATAGTGTAAAGCAAGCCATTGATAATATCAATAAAGACGCGCACGGTATGTGATTGGTCTCGTCAAAATGAACTTGGTTTTAGGAATTAAATCTCAGATTGCAAAAGTGCGAGAGATCTGCCCTATAAAAAATCTCAACGATCATCCTATAGTAGTCTCTCTGGAAGTTCAGAACCTGGGTATGTTGATGGGTTGATATCGCAGATTCGAGAAACACATAGATTCTAAAAAGCCTAAGTGTTACGGCGCATTTAAAAGACTACTTGTATATAAAGTGCGACTTTCTTGAGTACCGAGGTGAGACCATAAGACGGGGGCTTATTGGTACTGTTTATCATGGATTACGGGCTCTTAGTACTCTTATAAAAGATACTCTATGGTACAACTCAGAACACCCAGATCAAAACCAATTTAGAAAAGTTAATTTTCCAAATTGGTATTACCGAGAAACGATCATCGTCACTCAAGACTTTGCAAAACAAAACCCCGCAGTGCAAAACGTTGAGCTACCGGGGTCCTCGTTTTTGACTGTATTGACGCAAATTCTCCCTCTACAGGAACCAATATCAGGAATAAAAATCAATATGTCACCAGATGATAAAATTAACGCTGACCGATCGCGTAACACCATAGTACTAGATGAATTAGAGCGTCCTAAAAAGACGGTAAGACACAGCTTGCAACCTGTAAATCACGTCACTCGTCGACAAAGTTCAGATGACAGTCACGATTACTCATTGTCTCTTCTTATGAATCCTGACGTTTCAATATCACTTCTACTCGGTGATGACGATGCCTTTGAATACGACATTATAAACATCGATCTAGAGCTTATGCAAGTCATGGATATGTCCTTAACAGACCTGAGACCTCATAATAAAATAAGCAGTGGAGTCAGTATAGCATCGGGTTCTAAAAGACCACGGTATTCTGTACGTCGACGCAGTTCGTTTAGTAAGTATTAACAAAACAATCATATTCGTATATCGTCTCTAAATTGCGTAATTTACAATTCAATCTTTACGACTAAGGCTGCACTACTGTGTCAAACCAAAACACTACAAGTCCCAGTAAAGTGTTTTGTAATTTCATTGAGAGTCTATACAAACTCAAATGTTTTTGGTTGGTTCCGCATAACAGTAAAAGTGTTAAATCAATTTCTTTCAATTTTTCACTTTGGAAAAAATATATACTTAGTAAAATTGAGGATGTACACTGATGTGAAAACACGACTCCTAAAAATGTTCACGATAGAAAAAAACACAAACTTAACTCGAAATTTTACAAGAAAACCGCTGTATTCAATAAGTATTCTACCAGTGTTTTTTTATATCAACTGAACTAAATACAGGTACTATGCGATGTACATTTTTCAAATGGCTTTAATTACGTTTGTAAAAAAAATATATTTTAAAATGTATCCAGTTTCCCTGTCGCTCGAACCAAGCAAAATGAACCTTGTTAGTACCGTAGTAGTAAAAATTAAATTCGAGCTGAGATAGTATCGACTCATAACAAGGCAAAAGAAATTTACTGTTTTTTTAATTATAGATAGGTTATTTGCACAGTAATTATAATGGCAGGATAAAATTATTTTATATCCAATGTACAAAGTAACTTAAATTTCTTATTTTATGTTATTAACTTCAAAAATTAAAAAATAAATCCTAAAATCCTAAAAATCCTTTTCGCAGCCTTTTCTCAAAATACTGTTTTTGATATTAAAGTGTATTGGTTTGATACGGTGGAGTAGCATCCTTCATGTCTAGTAGTAAGTGCAAGAGTTCAACCAGGAAAGCACTTTTTTCTTCGGGGTTTAAAATCAGTACTAGACGTTCATTACAAGGTTCAAAAGAACAGAGTTATTAACTTTGCTGTAATATGAACTACAGTTATGCTACAGTTTAATTTATGAACCAGCGTGGGCTGGTTGTTGTTGCTTATACACTAAAGTTCGGATTAATCCTGTGATTAAGAGGTAGTCAAGTTGGACACTTAATGTTTAAATTCAACTCTATGCCACATGCAATAAAAAAAGTCTCAATTGCTTGATGTGTTCTTGACTGTACCATCAGTCAGTGTCAGTTTGATGCTTAAAAGTAAAACGTGGAACGTGCATTTTTAAAATATAGATTTTTAGCGATTTAGCGCCCAGTTACACGAGGCGAAAGTATTCGCGCGGCTGCCGCGCGGCGACCGAGTTATCACGCCTCCATGTACATTAATAACGAATCTGAATTCTATTTACTAGGCAACAACATTTAAATTCCTACAAATAATACAGCCAAACGACGAAAAAACGACCTAAGTCAAGCCAACGTCGCCCGCGTGTCCGGGACGCTAATTTAAGTTAAAACGTAAAGGCTAAACGAATAGAGCCTATGTTGCTATGACAGACGCGCGCGGTCGCCGTGCGGCAGCAACGCGATCTCCGCTCGGCGGTGGTGTGCGCGATGAAATTTGTGTCGAGTAAATGCGCCCTTAAAGTTTTTTTTAAGAAAAAAAAATCGTAAATCTAATTTTATTTCTTATATTGAAAACTAGAAAACGTTACATCAGTGTAGAAAGTCAGAAAAGCTGAAACTTTCTAGTTTTCAATATAAGAAATAAAATTAGAGGATATTTTCTTCTTAAAAAAAATTACTTTAAATCTAAATATTTTTTCTTGCACATTAAAACAATGACAACACAAAAACAGGGTACGCCAATGTACAACAGGCGGCCTTATTGCTAAGCAGCAATATCTTCCAGGCAACCTTAAACATGTATATCAAAGTGATCACCCTTAAAGTTCTATGCATACATGTCCGGGCCGTGCCCGAGACGTGGACGGGCCGTGTTCCGTCAGGGGTTCAAAAAAATATCGTTGCGTATATTTTGTACGAACTCGTTCACACATGTCCGTGTCCGGGCCGGGGCCGGGACGGGCTCGCAGTTCATACAAACTAGCACGCCCCGTCCACGTCCCAGGCACGGTCCTGATGTGTATGGATAGTCCTTAAATGTGATCCGTTTTCCACAGAACGAAAAAGTTTGCATGTGAAGCAACATAGTGAGCCAACTATACATAAAGAGATAACAGGCGCACCAAATGCTTTTATCATCGAGTTGCTTGGTTTACGTGAAAACGTCGACGTCAGGTGATGCTTTATCAACGTCTGTATATTTGATTGAAATAAGCACTTTATTATTATTACACTACAAGTATAGTAAATTTCTTAATCGAGTGCAGGAAATTGGGGTCATTATCAAGGCCACGGAAAACGAAAAAAGTTAAATGAAATGAAGTCATCGTCATCAACCCATTTAAACATCCCATTGCTGAGCTTGGGTCTCCTCTCAGGCGAGGGTTTAGGTCATCACGCTGGTCCAACACGGGTTGGGGATTTCACACGTTTTCCGAGGGTTGTGAACCTTCTTTGACGTGCAGGTTTCATCACGATGTTTTTCTGCACCGAAAAGCTCATGGTAAATTTCAAATTTATTTTTTTATTGTTATTTTTATTTATTTATTGTTACAATTTTCAATTTACAATTAACAAAACAAAACAATGTGCATAAACCTATACAGATTTTTCGCACATTATACAGTCGTCATCTACACAATATAAAAAAATTAAAACATGTTAAATTACCAATTACCTGCTCTAGAACTAGGTTATACCATATACTTGTAACTATTAGGTAATCTGTGCCTATACTATGAGTACCAGAGCAACGAAGTACAAGCCAGAACACCTAGGTCATGACCAAGTTTAACTGCCTCTGTGGCCGAACGGTTACCATGCTACGCAGAGGTCCCATGTTTGATTTCCGGGCCGGGAGAAATATTTGTATGGCCTACATTTATTTCTCTCGTGTGTTTTGTGTAACTCTAGATATATATCTGGGCAGTAAACTTGTGGTTGTATATGTGTGTGTCCATGGCACCCGCGAGACAGCGTTTCCCTAATGCGAGGTTATGTTGAGTGTGTGTGTGTGTGCGTTATCGTAGGTAACATAACATTATCTCTGTAGCACATATCTCGGGATAACACGCCAAAAGTATTTTGGGAAAAAACAGACACATATACATTACATCACATTTTTTTTTTCACTACACGTATTAATGGTTAGGCGCAAACCAGTGCCACTGGCCTGACAAATAATGTATTGCTACGCATTGATAACTGGCGAACGCATTGACCCCGTTCCTGGAATATTCGAAACAAAAGACGATATAAACTAATAATTAATACACAAACCACTTTTATATAGAGTCGTAAGATTTTTCCTTTTAGAATAGAATAGAATAGAAAACATTTATTCCTTAAGTAGACAACACAGTACACATGCATTTTGTAATAATAACAATAAAAATAGTACTAACTACAAATATATAGAAGAGTACAACGCGTGTGTGCTGTGCTGCCAAGGAATCCGTGACCCACTCAGCTTATTGTCGTCTCACTTATGGTGCTACGACGCTGATTTTCAGCGGATCCGGCAACAGAACACACGTGACACGGAACATAGTAGCCGTGACAGATTGACAATTATGTCCTTAAAAACGCACAAAATATGTCTGAACGAACAGATTATTGACACAGTACAAGAAGTAATGACATTACTTACATAATATATACGTTAAAATGTGAAATTAATTTCATAAAACATGTATAAATATTACAGTTAGTCATTTTGTGATATTAGTTAGAAATAATATCACAAAATGAATATAAATGTAGACAGTTATGTATTTCAACAATAGACTTTATTACGTCACATATAATTAAAAATAAAATTGGTATAGCGAATAATTGAATAAAATTGACATATAAAAAACAGAACCAAACAAGTAAAAATAATAAAAAATATAAAAAAGTAATCTAAACAATAAAATCTATATATTACGAACACAGATGACCCCGACACATCAACAGCCATGTGGAGATTGTTGAACATTTATTAAGTAAGCCCTGAGTAGTCTTTTAAAAGTAAAAATCGACGAGGCATTCCTAATAGGTGGTGGTATGTTGTTCCAACATTTCGAGGCAGCATATCGAAATCCGCCACGAAAGCTCGCCGTTCGGTGTCGAGGGCATACAAGGCGAAGCGCATGTCTAACGTGCATTGATGAAAACTGAAGTTTGTCATACAAGTACAAGGGTTGCTTGGTCTTAATAACCCCAAACAGCAATACAGCAAAATGTAACTGGCGACGGGCTTCCATCTTCAATAAACCTGCATCATTTAGAAGAGGCGTGACATGCGCGCGACACGGAATGGGGAAACAATACCTGGCGCAAGCATTCTGTATCCGTTGAACAAGATTTCTAGAGCGAGCAAGCAGACATCCGCCGTATATTGTGTCAGCATAGTTCAGTTTGGATAGAATCAAAGAGTCACAAAGCTTTATGCGCAAGTCTACATTGATAAAGTTTCTCACACGATATAATACCTTCAGGCGGTAAAAACAATTGCGAATTGTCTCAACGATATGCCCCTCAAAGTTAAGGGAACCATCCATAAGGACGCCTAGATTTCTCACCACTGAAACTCGGCCTACGGAACTTCCCGCTATAGCTACCTGAGGGTCGTAGGACATGATGTTCTCAATTTGTCGTTTTGTACCAAGTACTAGAAACTTTGATTTGGAAGGATTGAGCACTAGATTGTTTAGTTTTGACCATTGGGCAATACTGGTGAGATCATCATTCAACTGATTAACTGCGGACTGTGTTTGAAAAGGTTTAAAAGAAATATAAAGTTGTAAGTCGTCAGCGTACAAATGGCACTTGCAGTTCTTAATGCTGTTCACTATGTCCGCAGTGTATAAAATGAAAAGGATTGGTCCGAGAATAGATCCCTGTGGCACACCTCTAGTAACGGTAGCAGCACTAGAAAGCATAGAAGAGCCATCCTCACAACGTACCTCTACCCTCTGCATGCGACCGCAGAGATAGCTGGAGAACCATTTGATAGTATTAGAGTCGAATCCATAGTAAACGAGCTTAGATAGCAGAAGCTGGATATTTACCATATCAAAAGCACGTGAGAAATCCAGTAAGGTGAGAATGGTACCCCTCCCAGCGTCTCGCGCAGCCAAAACATCATCCACCACGTCAAGCAATGCGGTTGCAGTGCTGCGATACTTCCTAAATCCTGACTGTTTCGGAGGCAAAATTCCATTAGTCTCAAGGTAGTCTGTTAGTTGCCAACACACCACCTTTTCTACGATTTTTGACAAAAACGGTAATATACTTATAGGTCGTAAGTCACTAATGTGTGAAGGAGTGTTAATTTTTGGAATAGGCCGAATGATTGCCATCTTCCACAAGTCAGGGAATTCGCATGTTTCGATAGATTTATTTACAAGGGCTGTAATGAATCCTAGAGTCTGCGGAAGAGTAAGCAACACCATGTCGCGAGAAATGTCGTCCACACCACTGGCATTACTTTTGATTGACAGAATCGCCTTTGACACGGTCAGCTCCGAAACCACACGAAGTTTAAAAATTGTGGAACCGTGCCTACGAGCTGAAAAATGTGTCAGATAAGACATGTCAGTATTACAAGTGGGCAAGTCAAGAAAATGCGCGTTTAGCTTATCTGGGTCTTTCAAATGTGAGGGAATGTCTCGATCTTTTGCCTTGAAATCAGCCACGCTATTCCTTATATTCTTCCAAAGGTCGCGAGGTTTATGAATGTTGGAAGTAATACTTTGATGAAAATACATGGCTTTCTCAGTACTTATCGCGGACAATACCAGCTTCTTTAAATTTTTGTAATATTCCCTGTGTGTGTCCACTCCAGTATTTCGAAATCGCCGATGAGCCTCGTCGCGCAGTTTCATCATTTCCCTGACACTGTACGTAAACCAGGGAAGCATTCCCTCCCGTACAACAGTCTTTCTCTTCGGCGCATAGCGGTTAAATAAGTGAAAAACATAGGCATTAAAGTCGTCAACACAATCGCTCAACCTAACTGATAGCAACCGATCCCAATTAATTGCACTCACATCCGAATTAAACGCATCAATATCAATGCCAGCAATTGGACGGTATACAATGTGTTTTGGGGGTACTTTTTGTTTCTTCACATTAATTTTACCAGAAATGAATGCATGGCCACCAAGATCAGGCACATAATCAACACAAAGGTCAGTAATCTTTGTACTAGAACACATAATATCGATTAACGTCTCACTATGGTCCGTAAAATGTGTCGGCTGTTTGACATACTGCTCTAGATTTAGACAGTGCAAAAAATTCAAAAGCTTTTTCGTGGACATGTCATCGCCATTCAAAAAATTTACGTTAAAATCGCCAACTAGCAACACATGATCGAATAACGAAAAGGACGCAATCGAATCAGTAAGTGCATTCATGAAAGAATCCAAGGATAACCACGGTGGACGGTAAGCAGTTCCTATGGCAAGCTTGACGGTATCTAATGTAATACTGAGCCACATCTGTTCTACGTCTGCCGGTGGATGAGGTAGCAGTCGCGTGTTGATGCCATGTTTGATATAAAAGGCTACCCCTCCGCCATTCCCACGTCGCACATTATGTGGCCGTGGAATATGACGAAGCTTATAGCCAGAGACAGACGGCGCGCGTCCCTCCTCACCCGCTCTAAGCCAGGTCTCATTTATGGCTACAATATCGGAATCATGGCGGTTCATGACCGCATGGAATTCATCATGGCGTGTACCAAGTGACCCGGCATTTAAAAGCCCAATAGAGAAACCCTTACCTCTAACAAACTGAACAATGTAAGAAAATGATAAGTGCAAGTATTTCCCGTGTAAGAGATAGAACCGAAGCTGTGTAATATGTCGCGGGTCCAATACAGAGAAGCAAATAGGACCTCGTTCAAACGAGCCATTCACAACACAGGGTTTATAATGAAGAGACATATACCATCCGTACAAAAACAATGACCTCTGCAAAAACAACACCTCATTCAGAACATACCATAACAAAATTAAAATTAAATTAAAAAACTTATAATCAAGTACCAAATGCTTAACAATAGATGAGTAAATAACAAATAATAAAACAAAGACAAAAGTTGTATACATGTTAATTATAGTACAAGTACAGCTCAGATAACAATTCAGTTCCTCAAATGTTGAAATGAGTGCATAAATGAAAGATTCAAGGCGAGCGAACAGCGTCCGCTCCAAAAACCCTAACAATATCCGCCATTGTACGCAGGCGTTGACGCAGTGAGTCCGCAGAGGCGCTCCTACGAGCGAATATGCGCCCGTCTCTGGTCCATATAAAGCGCCAGTTGTGTTTACCACCAATTTCCCGCGCTCGATGGAACAGCTGCCGGTTGGTTAGCGTCAACCTTTCATTGACGTAAAACCGACGTGGAGGACTGGGCAGTTCTGTGCCCTCAGTTGTAGCTCCCCGACGCACACGTGCAGCCTGCAGGAGCTGATCGCGCACTGCTCTGCGTGTCAAACGCACAACGATAAGGCGAGGCCTCTGTGCCACCGTTCCCTCAGAAGATATGGGCGCACGACCCACACGATTTGCACTCACAATGTCCTGCTCCTCAAGTTTCACGCCAAGCTTGTTTGCCAATGTGATAACAATGTGCTGCACACTCTCCACCCTCTGCTCAGGCACACATGAGAATTCCACATCATTGAGCAAGAGGTCCTGATCTCTGTCATTTATTTCTGCCTTGAGCTGCTCGATGGATGACAGTAGTTCTTTGTTCGTGTGATTATCTTGATTATTGTCCTCTAACCGATGCTCCACGGCAACCATACGAGCGCTCAACTGATCCACACGCAATTCGCACGCGTCTACCCGCTCCGCAAGCTTGGTGATAGCCGAAGTTAAATTTGCCATTTGAAGACGTGCAGCCCGCATTTCCTCTCTGAACGTACGAAGCTCATCAATGAAGACTTGACTCTGATGTATGGGAGAGTTGAGATTATTTAGTGACTCCTCAACCACCACAGAATCCTGTGTGGGGCTAGGTATTGATGCCCCACGAGTAACAGTAACATTACCGCGCACTGGAGTATTTGTGTTGTCCTTTTTAGGTGCTTTGCTGATACATGTAACACACTTCCAAGAGGCCTTGTGTTCAGATGTCATTGTGTTACGATAACGCTGCTCAGACACATTTGCGCACGTCAAGTCATATAAGTTTTTACATTTGCAGCATGTCATATACTGCCTGCTTTCAATAAGAGATAGGCAACCGGCACATGTTTTTTTCATAGCAGAGCGTGGAGACATTTTATATAAGTAGGTCGTACTAAAAGTATTTAATAATAATAAAAAAAAATAATAAAAACAAAAAATGAAAAAAAAAATGTTTCAGTGTAACGGATTCGAACTCGCAACAAAAACACGAATATCCACGCAGCCCACCAGTCTACCGCCAAGCTATCGCAGCAATAACAAATGGTGCGAAATTTAGACTCATATGAATAGGAACCAATGGCGGTCACTCGCGGTCACTCTCGGTCAATGCTCTCTGAAGGTCGTCCACTCACTAATGACCGTCACAATGTTCGTAATAACGTCGATTTCGATAAACTAATTGTCACTTTGCACTATCAATAAACTATCAAATTGTTCAACAAATTACATAGATTTTTAAAACCGCGTCTAAGGAATAAACTGATATAATTTTTACTTCTAAATATGCAGTTTTACACTGGTAATAAAATAAAAATATTGATAACACTTTAGCACGTCTACTCTCTGTTCCGCGTCCCGCCCTTTGTTACCGTTAGAAGTGAATGTATTTGAATTATAAATTAAATTGCACAAATAAATTTCGAAAAACTCAGACGCACGATACCGGATTCGAAACCACGGTCTACACTTGTAGGTCAAACCATGACAGGGCTTCGATTATAGGAGTCGAAGTGATGGCTCGCGGGCCACAGGTACGTTCGGCATGAGGCGCTGAGTCTGCAGTTTACTTCAATGCACGTTTTTGTCGGATAATGGGGCCTTGTGTATGGTCTATCACAGCAAATTCTGTTTAGGGTCGGTAGTTGGTACATGACACGTTTCATATACTAAGAAGCATACTTAATAATAGTGTTCCTTTTCTACATAAGCGTAATTTATCATTCGAAGCGGTTCGAAGACTTTTATATCCTATGTTTGACATGTATTCGTAGAACGCGTTTTAGCACGACGCAAGAAAGAATGCATACCTATGTAAGCCAAATTTAAAATGTATACAAGTATATATTCCCGTACCGATAATCGAAATAAAAAATAATAGAAATTATACTGAAGCTCCATGCATTTTGTGTTCAATTTTAAACATGATGAAATGCGTATATAGGATTCCTCATAAGGTTATGCTGTAAGTTGTGTCTGTCTTGTTTTCAGACGTGCCTTTGATTTGTTAGAAGCGGCCTTCGAATGCATGCAGAATTACGATTACTGCGCTATAAGAGTGCCCGCTGCGGATAAAAGTCTGTTTTTGCTACAACATTTTACCGTAAGTAATTATTATAGGAAATGAAATTATTTTTAATAGTTTCATTTCCCATGTGTAACAATTGCGAAGACCCAAAAACTCGATATGTACGTAATTAATTTTTATAAACATTTTCTTAAACTTAATATTAGTGTTGTAAAAAGCTCGAGTCCGAAAATCTACATTTGTAAATTCGATTCATTTTGCACGACTCGGTGGCCTCAACCACTCACGAGTCCGAGTCGAGTCCAGCGCGACTGCCACTCTACATAGACTCGAGTACGACAAGCAGGTTTCAATTGTACTGAACAACTATTATTGCCCACGAATTATATAAGAAACAACAATTATTACAGTTTAACACACCACACCATTGCTCAGTAGGCACTTACCAAACTCGAGCTCGACTCTTTACATAAAGAGTCTCGAAGTCGACTGGTTAGGTTTTTTTATAATACCAAGTGATGGGACGCACAGGTCGTGCGCCTGGTGGTAAGCGACACGCCTATCCATAACAGTTGCAGTGCCACTCAGAACTTTAAATCACAAAGATTTGAGAGGCACTGCCACAGCGCCAGCCACCCTGAGACAGAAGTTGACAAGTCCCATGTGCCTGTGGTTGAAACTACCAGCACCCTTACCCTTCTAAACCGGAACGCAGTAATGCTCACATTACTGCTTGGCCGCAGAAATAGGTAAGGTACTTCCCTGGACGAACTCTTTCACAAGGAGCTCTACAGCTACCAAAATAGGTACAGAAATAGACTCGAGCACTAAGTGCGAACTCGATTCTATTCGGAAACTCGAAAGGCTCGTAATACTTCGAGCAGTTCTCTGTCTTTACGAGAGTCTTGTGAACTTGAGTTGAGTCCTAAAATGTAGATTCCTGGACTCGAGTTTTTTACAACTCTACTTAATATAGAAGTCTCTTATCCATTTCCACCCATTTGGGTTGTTAAAACGCCTTGGTCAACTGTAACTTCAATTTTTTTTTGTATAATAAGAATAGCATATAATTTAGCTAATTAAATCTATGGGATGTATATTACGTTTTTGTGATATCGACTACTTAAATTGTCTGGCGCCCGTGGTAGGTTTGAAAATACTTTGTTACGGCGCTAACTATCACTTACTGTATAACAAAACGTTTTTAATGCTGCAATTAGCTCAAATTTTGACACTTTTACACTACTTAAATTATTCTTAAAGATTTATGTGTCATATGTATGTGTAAGTGGTGTGTGATCTGAAAGTGTAATATATATGCAACGTAGTCTGCAGAGGTCAAGTACAACGTCACAGTATATAACTTACATAATGAACAATAAGTTTTGTTTTATTATTTTTTACAAAACAGTTTTTTTTTAATGAAGTCACGGGACGAACAAGTCGTGCGCCTGATGGTACTACACGCCTGTCCATAACAGTTGCAGTGCCACTCAGAGCTTTAAATCGTAAAGATCTGAACGGCACTGCCACTGCGCCCGTGACCCTGAGACGTAAGTTGACAAGTCCCATGTGCCTTTAGTTTCACCAGCACCCTTACCCTTCAAGACCAGAAAACAGTAATGCTGGCATTACTGCTAGGCGGCAGAAATAGTTAAGGTGGCAGTACTTCCCTGGACGAACTCTTTCAGAAGGAGCTCTACTGCTACTAAAATCTATGGGATTGTTATGATTATTAATACAAAGAACGAACATAGAAAAATTTCTTCGACCCGGTGGGATTTGAACCCACAACCATGCTGTACCGTGGCATCGCTCTTACCAACTGAGCCACAGGTCAAGTTCCAGGGTTGTGGAAATTATTCTATGTATTTTTGTTATAGATCATTGTATCGACTTTCGGAATTCGTTGCCGCTTGTGACATCTAGTGAGAGGTTTTAGAAAAACCTCACCGCAGCCGCTAATTTTACTATCTGACACTTGCGTTTGCGTTTTGTATCGGACTGATATTTACGCAAGCGCTTTCTTTTGTTACCACTTCTATTTAAATATTTTTATTTTTGGAAGTCATGGAACAAAAGTTGTTGTTTGTCAATTTTATATAGTCCTGTGAGGCTCTTGGTATTTTGCAATTTTACAAATAATATTTATTGTACCTATATAATTTCACACGCAGTTTACGAGAGAGGTATAATAAGTTCCTCATTGTAATTGTAAGACTGTGTGGTAACCAGAGAGAGATCCTTTGTTTGCAACAAGCTTTCGAGAGAGAAATATTGTTTATTATATATTGTTGGAATTACGCAAAATCAATCTTTATTCCAGTTTGTGCCAACTAAACCTAACATTTGCAGTTATTATTCTCTTTATATTGCGCATCGGAATTCAGTTTTGGGGTACGTAAAAATATTTTCACATCGGACCTAGATTTTCTCTGTACCTATTCATAATTATTCGGAAATGATACTACGTTATTATTTACTTCCAAAAGATGGCGCTATTACTGGCTCATGACCAGAGATCGGAAGAAAACGAAACTTCAGTTAATGTATATTTGGTCGACCTCCTTGGTGTCACCATCTCCGAGGTCCAGGGTTCGATTTCCGACCCGGTGAATGTAGAAAAACTTTTCTATATATTGTCTCGGGTCAGCGTTTACTGTAGGTACCACAAGGTACCGGCGTTGTTTCCAATTTCCATAACACAAGGGCTTTAGTTACGTATTTATTCTGAGATCATAGCAACGTACGTGTCGTTGTATAATATTCATATTAGAAGAAGGAATTACGTGTTTTATTTACTTAAATAGTAGGTAACTGAGTGGCACTGCAACTATTATGGACAGGCGTGTCGCTTACCAGCAGGCGTACGACTTGTTCGTCCCGTCACTTGATATCATAATAAAAAAAGTTAGTTTTTATCCTGTCACCTAGAGACGCAAAGTTGACAAGTTCCATGTACCTGTAGTTTGTCCAGCATTCTTTCAAAAATCGAACGCAGTAATGTTCACATTACTGCTTGGCGGCAAAGATAGGTATGTACGGCAGTAATACTTCCCTGGACCAACTAACTTACAAGAAGTTCTACTGCTGCTAATAGTGGCATACGATAAGTGGAACTATTTTAAACCTTGTAGTGGCAAAGCCAATATTAATAGGGTATAAGCTCAGTGACTTGGGATCTTGGGACCCCAACCTTGAAAGTCACCTTGACGTTGAGAGTGAACATGCAAATCTTAGACATTTCGATACCCTTTCTATAAAGTCCAATTGATAATTAATAAACTCTAGAAACTGAAACGTAAAGTATGATATTGAAATGGAATTTGACGTTTGACGTTGAATGTCACATTGCCATTCAACGTCAATTGTCAAATTCCATTTCAATATCATTATTGATGTTTGACGTTGAATGTTAATGTGACATTCAACATCAAACGTCAAATTATATTTCAAAATCATACTCTACGTTCCAATTTCTAACGTTCAGACTTTACATGAATTTTGTCTTGATACTCCATAAAGGACTGTTACGAGCTAGTGTTAAGAATTTTGTTGATTTTCAGCAAACTGCGAGTCCGCAGAGCTGAGTACGGTGATATCCCTCAAATTGCATCACTACTGTATAATTTGGACGCTAAAGAGACGCTGTGGACAATTGAATACAGTATTGCGCATCCGAGACAACACCAATCTTATATTTTTCTCTGTGGATGTTCAATTATAGGCATTGCAATAATTGAGTACATAAATCTTTATTTTAACATACTCTACTTATCTAAAAAAAAATTCTGACTATTAGAAAGCTATCAAACAATTTCAATAAATGTTTTATTGATAAGATATCAACAAAATTAATAACGAAGAAAAGTATTCGCATAAGTAAAGCCGATAGAGACGATTTTATTTAGAAAACTTATTTCGTAAAAAGTTCTATATCGTCGAAGTAGTTTCGATTTCGGCAATTCAGTGGCCAAATAAAGTCCGCGTAAATGTCATGGCAACCAAACTTAAGGGAATCTATTGTTATCAGTCCGTAGACAATATAAATTAATGCTTACTGTAAAAATTAAAGCCGTAGCATTAACTTACAAATAAATGGACGACGGGTCTAATACAAAAACCACGAAAAAAATGTTCCAAGTCAACCTATTTAAACGTAGAGACATGTCAAGGAATATGAAAAAGCTAAACCGTTGAATTTAAATTGTAATGTCATCGTAGTACTGTCTAATTTTGCTTGCTTCGCTGTCAGTCGAACAAACGAAGACTAGAGCGTGAATGACGCTCTGTATACGATTTTAACGCCCTATAAGTTCGGACACTTTTTAGCGGCGCGGACCCGACGTCTATATAATTGTAAGTCAATGAGCCGTAGTCGTTGGAATAACAAAGTAATAACGTTAAATTCCTCTCCTGTGAAATTTGGTTAGGATTTGCACTGTCCCCGACGATATATCAGCGGTGTATACGCTCATCAAAAGTGTCGAGGGATCAAGGTATTTTTTTAATGTTTTATTATTTTATTAAAATGAAATAGAAATATCTATATAAATTTATTTTATATAGATATTTCTATTTCATTTTTAGTTATTTTTTAAATTATGAAATTGACCAAAAAAGCCATTCGTATTAAAAAAAAAATCAACAAGATTTTCAGTAATAGGCAAAAAACGTGCTTGATTCAGACACTTTTGATGTGTGTAGGTATAACATGATTGTCGAGATAACACATTGTCTTCAGATCACCAGAGGATATTCAACTTCTACGTGAAGAATTCAGCTTAGAGAATTACCACATGCATAAATATCACTTAATCGGAAGCGGATGGAATAGTGGATTCGCAAGTATCAAGTCTGCACTGATCTATCCTGTATTTGAGCCGCATTTTCGATTTTTTACAAGGGAGCTGCTAAGGCATTCTGGAAGCAGCTCAGTTGTTTGGCTCACTTCTTATCGAAATAAACTGGTAACTATCACACACTACCATCGTTTTATTACAATTAGGACAAACACCAATTGAAC